GGAGAGCTTGGGCAAGGCGGGAAAGAGGAATTCACTGGGAGAGCTGGGGGGGTTCCCCTGGAGAAGAGAAGGCTCCAGGGAGAGCTGAGAGCCCCTGGCAGGGCCTGAAGGGGCTCCAGGAGAGCTGGAGAGGGACTGGGGACAAGGCCTGGAGGGACAGCACACAGGGAATGGCTTCCCAGTGGAGAAGGGGAGATTCAAATGGGATATTGGGAAGGAATCCTTCCCTGTGAGGGAAGGCCCTGGCCCAGGTTGGGCAGAGAAGCTGTGGCTGCCCCATCCCCATCCCTGGAAGTGTCCAAGGCCAACCTGGGCGGGTGGAAGGTGTCTCTGGGTGGGCTCTGAGGCCCCTCCAGGCCCCCCATTCCCGTGTCCCGTGGCTCTCCCAGTACGCCTGCTACGCCATCGGGAAGGACGTGCAGGCCATGAAGGCGGTGGTGGGGGAGGAGGCTCTGTCTGCCGATGACCTGCTGTACCTGGAGTTCCTGCACAAGTTCGAGAAGCAGTTCATCTCCCAGGGTGAGCGGGGGGCCCCACACGGGGGGCTGGGGGCTGGGGCTGCCCCCCGGCCCCCCCCGGCTCCTGCACCGCCCTCCCTTGCCAGGCCCCTACGAGAACCGGAGCATCTTCGAGTCCCTGGACCTGGGCTGGCAGCTCCTGCGCATCTTCCCCAAGCAGCTGCTGAAGCGGATCCCGGAGAGCATCCTGGCCGAGTTCTACCCCCGCGAGGCCAAGGCGCCCGAGCAGGGCCCGGCGGGCACGGCCCTGTGACCCCCCGATCCCCACGGACCACCCGGGGCCCCCGGAGGGGCTGCCTGGGCCGGGCTGCCGGGAGGGCACCGAGGGTGTCCCGGGGCCGGGGGGAACCTCCTTTCCTCGGGGAATAAAGCGCTGTGGTACCAACCCCCTGTGCTCTGCTGCTCCTGCTCTGGCCCTGCCCTTCCCGCCCCAGGGACCCCTGGAGATCCCTGGAGACCCCTGGAGACCCCGGGGTGCTCTGTGGAGCAGCAACCCCTGCCCAGCCTGTGCTGCCCAATGCAGGCAGGGGTGCAGGCAGAGGTACAGGCAGCCACACACATCCCCCCACTGAGCTGCATCTCCTCAAACCACCCCATTTCCATATTTTGGGTGCCCTGGGGGGTGCCCATGCCATGGGGGTCCCACAGAGCTCCCTGGGCAGGGTCCCAGCCCCTCCCCAGCCTGAGCACTCACAGCCGGGGCGGGGCAGGTTTCGGTTCCCCCCTGCCCGGATCGGGGTCCCCCTCCCGGGGGGGGTCAGGGGGCGGTTTCACTTCCCTGCAGCAGCGGGAGGACGAGGCAGAGCCGGGGCAGGGGCAGCTCCCCCCGCTCTGTGGGGCCGGGGCCGCAGCCCCCCCATGGCCGGGGCCGGGCAAGGGCTGGGGGGGCCCCTCGCAGGTAAGGTCCGACCCCGGGGGGCCTGGGGGGGCCTCGGGGGGACCCTCGCAGGT